AAAAACTAAGTAACGATTTATAATATAATAAAAGTTAAGCTGTTTTAGATAAAAATTGTATAGTATCATGCAAAACCGTATTTGAAAATTTTGGCGTCCCAAGTTTATGTTTAACTTCCCAAAAACAATATCAATATTACACTAATTACTCCTTCTATGATCAAAATTCTTAAATATTTCTTATAAATGTAATGTTGGTAATATGTAATCATTTAATAGTAAAAATAAATTAAAATATTTTTTCAATTAACCTATTTACATAATATACTTTTTAATGTAATTTCTCCTTTCTCGATTATTGGAAAAATCTTCAATTATATATTCACTATAATTAATAAGACGTGATTCAATATTTAAAATTAGTCATTATGCGGAATTATTCAAACTCAGATACGCGTTTACTTTCCGAAATTACCGCTGCTCGGTACAATTAGTCGCTCTAGAATACTAAGAAATATAAAATATTATGTAATGCTATACGTGTAGAAAACTATTATCCAATTCATGTATGAAATATAATATGAATACTATATCAATGTGCTAATGCAAAATACACACACAATTAATAATATATAAAGTAATAATACATACAAGTGTAAAACGATTTATGTTAATATATTATACACAATAATTATTAATAATAAGCCTTTTACAAAATACAACTACATGGTATATATAAAAAACTGCGTCATTGTCACAAAGCAATTACTATTGAATATCACTATAAAATTATCATTGTTTCATTGATTGCTAAAAATAGGTCTTTTCGAATACGTTTATTATTGAAGTATTATTATTTTGACGATTGTAAACAATATTACAGTTAGACAGTGTTAAAAAACATTTTCCTAATTATCAAATTACTTAAATATCGAATAAAAGTATTTTTTTCATTACCTTTTTTAAAATTGATTACATTGAAATATTTTGCAGCCTTCAGGCATGTGACCAATCGTGTCCCCCTGAATACAAGTCTGGTACCATGCTAATATATAGATAAATACATAAATATCAATACAGTAAAAAAAAATACAAAACTACAGTATTTAGAATAAACGAAAAATAATAATAACTGTAGTTTAAAATTTACATCGTAAAATAATAAAAACCAAAATGTTCAAAATCGTCAAGTCAAAGAATATTAAAAACTATACGAGTACAATATAGTTTTATGTGTAGAATACCAATTTATTCCATACGGGGAGTATAAATTACATTTTTTTTTTTAAATAAATGTACCTGATTTCTCTTAAACATGGTATGTTTATTAGCCAACAAAATAAAATTTCTTATTAAGTAAAAAAGTGTTGGAAAACATAAAAAAAAAAACTATCTTGATTGATTTTATACATCTCGTTTTTAATATTCATTGGTGCGCATCATGATTTTACGTATCTAGGTAATGGACATAAATTTAATAGTATAATATACATAATATTTAATGGGCAACACTAAAATTGTTCGCCGTTTCTCACTGTAAATGCGGTGAAGCAATCGCGAAACTTGCCATAGAAATAATATGAATGTGGCAACCATAAAGCATATTAATGAAAGGCACATTATTGGTTTATACTCTAAAATTTCTCATAATACAAATCAATACAAACGATTAATTGTTACAACAATATATTTGTGGATCCAATTACTTCTCGATTATATTAATTACGTTTTTAATGTACATTAAGTCGTCAACTATAGGAATTTATAACTGTTTAGCGTACGGCAATTTGAGGGATTCTCCCTAACAATTATGTGCATATATTTTTCGTATAGAAATACAGGCGGAGCTGAGCAACTAATGGACGTAAGAGTAATAAAACGATTTACTTGAATGGTCATAACGTGACAATTATGATGATAATTTAAGTCTGTCGGCGGCGTCTTCGAGGAACGCATCATTTATCGGTAGGCAGGTAAACAAAGTACGACAAATCACGTAGGAATGTTGAATAAAAAAAAAATGTTTTTCACAATCTTTGTATATTTAAACGTGCATAACGAGCACGACGAATTTCTTTCTACAGCCATTCAATAACACCAATCAAGCCAAATATGTTAAACACTATTTGATCATGCAGAATACGTGGTTGAATGTAAACTAACAAAACACTAAACAAAATAATTAGTTATGGATCTTGTGTTTAGATACTCGGCTAAATATTTCTGATCATGCCCAACGTTACAAATATTTTAACACAACCAAAAAGTTCTCACGAAAAAAATTTTAGACGGAAACATAATAGTTTACTGTTCAGTGATTTCGACGAGATTAATAGTTATGCGAGTTTCTTTTATTAGGGAAGCATTTTATATTGTTTAGTTTAATGCTGTTTTCTTAGGGTACTCATCGCATGATTACAATAATCGCATAGTAGCTCGATAACACTCATTAAAAGATAAAAATTGTTGTTTTTAAAAAGTAAATTATGACACAGTTTGAAACGTTTACACATTTACAACCGATCATTGCTGTGCAACCAGTTTAAATTTTTTATTACTATTTTATTAACGTTTTATGAGACTTAAACAGATTCGCCGTGCAATTTTAACTACCTGCAAACGCCTCGGCTATATGAGCGCAGTAGGGTTAGTTCTGATGCTTTTAGTGGACATTGTAATCACATGCTAATAGGAAGTACTATATAATTCTGATTATTTTAGTGTAACTATGTAACAACTGCAAAATTCACATTTTAATTTACCTACTTTGGATAAAAAATACTATTTATTTATATCTGTATCAATTGATTATTTTATAAATGATACATTATACATCCTTTGGGGAACATAGTTGAAATAAAAATAAAATGCATTTGTTATTTATTTATTGAAACATAGAAATGTAGAACAGTAGCAAGTAAAAATTATGAAAAAAAACGTGTTGGTAAGTTTACAATAAGATTATAGTGCACAGTTTAAAAAGCAAGTACAATTTGATCCTACGAGGTGGCTCTATATTTTATTTATATTTTTTTTTATAATGGACCACCATTTAAGATGTGAAACATGATTTTTTTTGTAGTACTCAATTTTACCTGATGATGTAGTTTATTTAGAAAAGGTTAAACGATTTAAAAGACACGTAGCATTAGTGAATTTTATATGGTTTAAATCCCTTGAAATTAAGTAAAAGGAACAAGTTGAAACGATGAAAATAACTTGTAATAGAGAACGTTTACTCCACCCGATATTGAAATTTATACATTATGTTAACCCATTTCTCTGAATTATTTTTGTATTTGTAAACGTTCAATTTAAAAAATATTTGAGTTGTCTAATTTCAAAAGGAAATATTTCCAAAAAAAAATTGTTGTAATAATTCAAAACAAAATTATTTTGTTTATCCTTAGCGGATTGGATTACAACTGGACGGAAAAAAAGTTTAATTACAAAAAAAAATTTTTTTTAACTGGATGACTCATATTTATTTATTTATATTAAGCAAAATTAAATTGAGTATAATTCATGTTAACATCATTAAAATTAAATCAAAAGGTTGATACATTCATTAGTTTTAATCATTGTACACAAAATATACCAATTATTTTAATCTTCTAGTTATGCCTCAAAAACGGCACTTATAAAAAATAATAATTTTAAAACTAGTAAATTCTTTGAAAGCAATTTATTTCTATAATACATGTAGGAAGAACGTCAAATGTATACCAAGTAATTGTATATAATTGTGAATTTAAATTTGTTAATAAATATAATACATTTATATATTATATTTTATCTATCAATCTCAATTGAATTATCAAAGATAACTCTAGACTTAAAATTATCTTATTTTTCGAGTAAATAAATAATTGGTAACAATGTGTTTATTACACCAATGTTATTTTTTAAACGTGTGATCAACTTATTTTTGAACATCAATTATTAGTGAGTTTTTCATAAAAAAATTATCATTAAGCATGTGTATCACAGTGAACAAATTGAATAGTTCACTTTCTAGAATAAATTCTAAATACACTGCTGAAAATAAAAATTATGTGATAATGTACTTATCGTGTAATAAAATCAGCAAACGTTATTAGGGAAACTGTTTATTAAATTATAATTAACTAAATGACAATACGTAACATGCAATAAATCATTGTAAATAACTGTAGAACAAAAAACTTCACGGAAAAATTGACGAATAAATAATTTTTGAAATCCTACAGTTTAAACAAATAATGTATGTCATTTCTAACGAATAATAATATCATCATCGTAATTCAACTAATCAAAAAACAAAGCATTAAGCAATCATAATGACCACACTTTAAAGCTGTCGATGGTTAGATAATTTGGTTATTTTACTAGCATAACTGAAATAATATTATACAATATATGATAGATTAATATTGCTTTGTAAAGAGTAAATAATATTGATTTATTAATTTGAAACTAAAATTCTACGGTAATTCCAATTTGACAAAATAACGCGTTCTAAGAATTGTTACCAAGAACTATAAATATGCGCAGCCATAAAACAGCAAATTAACTTTGATAAGCACAACGCATAATACTATAGCTACATTATTACTTAAACTTGATCGTTATATTATATTAGTACAATTATTGTAGGACTAAATCAGCGTTCTCGAGCAACAGTAAAATGAAAGCCCAACATTTTTTTTTACACTACTGAAAAATGTATTTAATCAAATATTTCGAGGGAAGCATAATCGCTTCAAGTCACTTATCACGGACTGTAACAGATAAATACATAAACAAGCCTGATTTACAAAATTTGATTATAATCAATAAGGAGTAAACAATAAGAGACGGCTCCTCGGCTCGTTAACTACTGATAATTTGACAACAAGCATGTGCTAAAAAAAACCATTGACCACAACAATATTACGCTCATTGTTTTGACTACAATAAGAGTACGTTGTTGGAGGAGCCATAACACCGCTTGGCATCGCCACGTTACAGCCGACGGTGTTTGCCGTCTACAAGAGATGAAAAAACCGGCTCCAACCCCACCAAGTCCGCGTGTGGCGCGCGACTGCCGGCTCAGCATTCGGCCGGTGACTTCACGAGAGTGTTGTGTGTTCCGTCCGTCGGGTGCAGTCAAATTGGCTAACGGTCGAAATTTTATTCATCGCGTTTCCGTATTTTCGAATACAAATTCAGCTCGTTGCCGACCAACACAATTTTACTGCCGTTCGGTTGTGCGAATAGTTTTGTTGTTATATAATCGAATAATAATAATAATATTCATTAGATTATTTGCGAGTGTTCGATACTTAACTATAAGGTCACATTTGATAAAAAAAAAAAAAAAATGCGGTAACCGTATTACGGATCTTGTGTTTTTCTTTGTAACTTGTTTTCAAGTGATATTTTTCATATGGTTTACATTTGAGAAAAAACTAACGACACCTAATTCAACATGAGGATTCCGCTGTGCGCTTTTCTCGTCTACTTATCAGGTTAGTTTGCGAAAAACTTTTTTACTCTCGATTCTAAGGTACCAAGATTGTCGAGCAACGTTTTTAAAAATTTATTGCTCAATCGTCTTAAGCTCCGCAGAAAATCCAGACATAAAAAAAAAAACGCTCGACCGACACTATAAATTCCGTTTTATGTTGCTAAAATAACTCGTAAGTGGATGTTTTCCTTAGTGGAAAAATTTCCTCCGAATTAAATATTAAATTATCCAAAGGCGACCTCCGTTAACAACCAGAAAGGATATCATTGGACGTACTGCAGCTTGTAAAAAAAAAAATCGTGCATTTGTTATAAATAATTTAAGTACCATAACCCTTGAACCGACCAAACGTTTCTTAATCCGCTTAGGTAGACCTTATTATCGTTGTAAAAGTGAAACCGCTCGAGTTTATATAAAATGAACTTTCAGTCAATGCGGTTGTGATTTTTTTTTCCATATACATGTGGAGATTATGATTAAATTTTTTATTGTTCATTATCATATATATTTCTTTCCGTGTACAAGTACTCTTATTATTATGATATTCAATTTTAACCACGACGGAGTTTATTCAAATGAATTACCCTATTTACTATCAGTATTTTCATAATCCAAATATAGTGGTTTCTTATATTTTCACCTGTTACCTATCTAAATCTTTCAATAACAATATTATACAGTCGTTGCATCTTATAATGATGTTTTAGCCTCGGGTTCACTGAAATCAAACACCGTGTAATAGTGAATCCCTGTAAAATTTCTATCGTTTTTGGAACCGCTAGGGGAATTTTTCTTGTTATAATGGGTCGTTGAAAATGCACGTACAACAGCCTACCAGGTAAAACGCACGTTGTTACCAAAAGCGATCGCAACATCGACGGGACTCGTGTGCGGCCATTGTGTCCGATGAAGGTCTCTCGTGTATCAACTAAAATATATAGATCTTTTTTTTTCTTTTTGAATACCAGCTAGATTTTTGCATTGTTGTTGTGCCCCACACGAACGTAAAGGTATCGACGTATAGGTAACAATTATGCCGTAGGTCCAACATGACCCGTATGTTGTATACATATTTCATATTTGTATTGGGGCAATGTATTCAACTAAATCTCCAGTAATTGCGAAAAGTAATGCAATTTTTCACATAATTCCACACATTTATTTTTTCCATCATAACACGAGCAATCAAAATAATTGCCGGCTACCATATTATTATTGTTTGGACATGACCCAAGACTTCTCTTTACGGTCCGCGTGACCGTCTAAAGATTTAATGTATTCATGCACATAAATTGCAAACCCGATCTGGTCGTTCTAAGTCACGTTCCGACGGTTAAAAAACGTTTTTTAACATTTTTTTAAACTCCCTTCTTCCAAAATTAGTACATATGTTATCACCATTGGGGTGCTCCGCATATTTCTGTCGTATTTGTTCAAGGAAAATGATTCAATAATCTGAATAGTTGATACTTTTTTTTTTAATTTCTGCTGATACATTCTGTTTACAATTGTTATATTATTCTTAAATTTACTTGGAAATTCGACAGTCTGTGCAAAAAGATCAATCAAATACGGTTTTAAACGATTGTCATTGTCTTTGTATTTATATAAACATTCGACTCAATACAAATACGATTGAATGCGTTGAAGTTTTTTTTTTATAATCTGTTTGAAAAAAAAAATACTATGCTTCTCACAAAACATTGTAATTATATGTTTGTGATAGCAATTTGTTCTTTATTTTTTCAATTGAAAAACTTATTAAATTGTCTTGGATTACCCCGAAGTAAGTCATAAACTTAAGAAGCATGGAAATTCGATGGGCAAACTAAACGTTTTCTTCTTCGTCTTTTGTTTTTCGTGACAATAATGATTTCGTAAAACAATTTGTCTTGCAAAAAAACACTTGGAAGTTTAAACGTTCGCTAAAGTGTTCTCTTATAATGTTTTCGTTCGCATTTCATGACCAAAACTAATCATAATTATTCTTTGTAGAGCGGCGATGCACTTTATAAGTTAAAAAATGGTAGAATAAATATTTCTGCATTAGTATGATCTTATTTAAGTTATAATATTCTAATAGGTATGTTGACTCATTTGAATACTTTTCGTTTTTTCTATCGTTTTACGACTACGCTTGTACATTAGGTGAATGTTGTATTATTTGCTGAATTCTCTTTTAGAAAAATATATTACTCTTTTATTGCCCATTCGTTGTAATCCGAGTACACCATTGACATTTAATACTATGACGCATAGGGATTTTATTTTTATGTTTTTTAAAACGACATAATTTTTAGTCACCGTGGTGTTGTATTGTAATTTTATCATAAAAACACTTAATCCGCCGTAACCATCACTTTCTCTCCGGTTGGTATTTCCGATTATTCGGCTTAATTCCGCGGGCGACGGCGCGGCGTCCAGTAATTTACATGAAATCACACGATTTTTTTATACGTATATAATATAATGTGCGACAGACGCATATGTAACCTTTACCCAGACCACCGTCACTTTTTAGGAAAACCACTTAGAGCGATGAATAACATGATGACGAAAGAGGATATATCGTCGAATATTACTTGCATCCTATTGTTATCAACGAGTAATTTCGTGGCCTTATAACACGTGTATTTTAAAACGGCATCGATCGGCGGCGGTATTTACTCATTTCATTAATTACCCTCAGTTAATGTGAATAATATATATATTTTAATACATTTTTATGGCACGCATACGCGTTATTAGGACCTGATTTTTCGTAGAGCGTCTCAAATACCTGTATAAGCCATCGGCAATCTTAATTATTGTCACCACATGACGGCATTACGACCGTTTATACACTTTTCGCGAGTTGCACAATGTAACAGCATGCTGTCATTGTTCTTCAAAACACCCACGGCGCCCCAGTTTACGGGCAAGATTGCCGAAAACAGAACGTTTACTACCCGCAATGATCCGATCCGATTAGGTTGTGTTCCCTTTTATTTATTTGTTCATTTCGCGATCGACCCGAATACGCGAAAAAGTTCACACAATTTAAGATTTTTGTCAAAAAAAAAATCAAACGTAATGAAATTACGGCGTGCGGCGGTTTGATACAATAGTTTAGAACATTTCATTCCTCTACGTGCAGCGCAATCCGCAACTGGCCGATCAATTGCTTTTTACTGAGCTCATAAACTATAATTTCATTCCAATTATTTTCGTTTTGATTGTATTAAAGTGAATTGTCATGAGATTAAATCGGAGCGTGGCAGCTGTGATAGTCCACCGCATTGCGTACTGTCCGGTGAAATGGCTTAGTTACGGGCTCAAGGCGAGCTTAGACACGTTTCGTGACTTGAAATGTAGTTTTTATGGTATTGCGACAAATAAGCGTTGGAAATTTAGACGATTTACTGGCTCCGCTGTTTACGTAACGCGAGAAACGATTTACGATTTATGATCCGACGACGTTATCAAACATAGATAGTGTACGCGTCATCTTTTTGAATAGTAAGCCACTATCAAAATATGCGCGTTCTGAAATGTACATCGGAACTGTCAATAGAGACTGTACATATAAGAGCGCTCGGTATCGAAACGCTACCGTAATCCTCCTTTTGCTCTCCGCATGAGTGTTAATAAAAAATTAAGTTAACCAGTTGTCCCGAGACGCTACCGTGTGTGTGTGTGTGTGATAAGGGCTGGTGTGGGTGCGCTTATTCAATATTCCCGAACATAAATCATCAGCAACGGCGATGTCTCTTGCCGGTTGCTCATGGGACGTCTTGCACGCCAGGGTTCTCTGAAGTAAATATACTGTCGGCACTAATGTCGAATCTCATTACTGACAAATAAATTTCCACATGAGATCGCTATAAACTTCACGACGTTATTACCCGTTTATAAAATTTTATCACAGCATGCGTGAGTATACCGTGGGCGTGTATGACGTGTATTTTTTTTTTCTCGGATATTCTATAATATTGTATTTTTTTATGGAAAAAAAACGGTTTTGACTCAGGAACTGGTTTTACTCGGTCGCTGGCGCGCGCACTCCAAACCAGTTTTGTTTTCAACTACACAAGTGTGGGCATTGGCGTCGGGCTGCTGAGGTCTCCTCCACTACTAATGTCTGGTGGTGATCGATAGGGCGCCGAACGCGACTCATTTTAATATTTGTTTTACCCCGTCGGCCCCGGTAGTGTAATGATGTACCGAGATATAGATAGGACGTAAGGTACACGGAATGGAGCGGCCCGTCTTTTGATCCCATTGCTGCTGCTGCTGCTGCGGCGGTTATTATCGATGGAAAGTTTGCTCGTTTCGCCGCAACGACTTTTTTATTTTGTCCTGCTAGTTTGGTAGTTCGTCATTGCGCAGCCAACGTGGTGTTGTTTTCACGCGCGTGTGATCGTTACACGTGATAACCGTATTAACAAATCTGGGCATTTCGGGTTTACACATTGCATAAGGATTTAGTGGTCGTTTGGTGTGTCATGTTGTTATTTTACTTTCTGAAAACAACGGCACGGGCGAGCGTGTGCGTGCACGACAGTGGCGACGGAGGCACACGACTTGTCGTGACCGTCCAGAAGGAACAATGGTCGCAACGGTGGCAACGCGGTGATAAACCTTATCCGCGTCGGTGTTGGACCGGTGCTCGGCAGTCCGTTGAAGAAAAGAGTCGTTGTTGTTAACGTTGTCGACGGTTTGCTGTGTTTGTGTAAGGATTAAAAAGAGAGTCGGAGAGAATAAGAAAATATGTAATAATAACAGAGCCAGAAATAAAAAATTCTCGAAATAATGGTTTTGTCCGGCGTCGTGCCACGAGCCGACCCGGAGGGAACCGCGTGACTAGCGACAACACTAAATGCTATGGCTGTTGTGTCGGCCTTCTTTATGTTATCTACTACTATATAAAAAGGGGTGTTAATTATTGTGATCGTTGGTTGTGTAATCCGAGTAATTCGACGGCGGCGGCAGCGATAATGATGAAACGTCGTTCTGCTGAAA